TTTTGCACCACAAGCATCCCATTTTGCAACCTCAATGTGTGTCTTGGAGTAATGTCCTAGTCCAACAGTCTGAAACTGTAACTGCAAGTCTCTTAAGACCCGGTCATAGCTAATTTAGATTAATTTAATTTAATTTAATTAAGACCCGGTCATAGCTAATTTCTACATGGAACACTTTGAAAAACAAGCCCTGGAAACAGCAACAAAAAAGCCCACAATATGGTTCAGATGTGTGAATGACACTTTCCCCATTTGGAGCTATGGAGAAGAACTCAACAGGTTCCTGGACCATCTCAACAGCATCCACCCAAACATATGGTTCAGAGATGTAGATGACACCTTCACCATTTGGAGCCATGGAGGAGAAGAACTCAACAGGTTCCTGGACCATCTCAACAGCATCCACCCAAACATATGGTTCAGAGATGTGGATGACACCTTCACCATTTGGAGCCATGGAGGAGAAGAACTCAACAGGTTCCTGGACCATCTCAACAGCATCCACCCAAACATCCAGTTCACCATGGAAAAAGGAAATGAAGGAAGACTGCCTTTTCTAGATGTCCTAGTCATCCGCAAACCAGATCCACAATTGGGTCACACAATTTACAGAAAACCCACACACACAAGTAGATATCTACATCAAAACTCCAACCATCACCCAAGTCCAAAAAGAAGCCCCATGAAAGCCTTGGCAGAGCGTGCAAAAAGAATCTGTGAAGCCCACCTCCTCCAAGATGAACTGAACCACCTCAGCTGGGCTCTCCAGGCCAAGGGAGACTCCACCTCAGACATCAGAAGAGCTGCAAGACCACCGAGAAGAAGCCACGAGAGTCAAGACGAAGACCCACCCAGAGGAGAAGTCCTCTTGCCAGACATCAAGGGAACCACTGACCGCATAGGGAAGCTGATGAGGAAACACAACATACAAACTATCTACAGACCCACCAAGAAAATCCAACAAAAGGACAAGAGGGATCCTCTCACCTCTGTAGGAGTCTCCCGTGTACCATGCAGCTGTGGACAACGTCTACATAAGGACCACCAAACACAGCAGCAGAATGGCCCAAACACGCATCAAGGAACATGAAAGGCACTGCAGACTCCTTCAACCAGAGAAGTCAGCCATAGCAGAGCACCTGATGAACCAGCCTGGACACAGCAGAGTATTGGAGAACACAGAAATGCTGGACCACTCCAACAACCACCATGTCAGACTACACAGAGAAGCCATTGAAATCCACAAGAAGCATGTGGACAATTTCAACAGAAAGGAAGAGACCATGAAAATGAACAAAATCTGGCTACCAGTATTAAAAAACTCTAAAATTACATCAGCACAACAACAGAGAGGAGACAAACAAGGACATCTAATCACCTCTCAACAAAAGTTTGCTCCAAACACAGTCAGCCCATTGTATGCTAATCAAGGTGGTCAGTTGAAACATTCACACCTAGCTCCAGCAGACAAGAGTCCTTTGTCCCACCCTGGTCATCATTCCACAGATATATAAACCCTTTTTCCTAGTTCCATCAAACCTTACTACCTCTGAGGATAGATGCCATAGATGCAGGTGAAACGTCAGGAGAGAATGCCTCTAGACCATGGCCATATAGCCTGAAAAAACCTACAACAACCCAGTCTCTTAAGATTTACTGGAATAATAATAATAATAATAATAATAATTCTTTATTTATACCCCGCCACCATCTCCCCAAAGGGACTCGGGGTGGCTTACATGAGGCCAAGCCCATCGAATACAAATACAACAGTTCATCAACAAAGCAACCAAGCAACTAAAACAATATAAATAATATAACTAAACATAAAGCAAAAACACACGAGAGAAGTAAAAACACTAGAGCCAGATGTAATAGATTAAAATTTTAAAACCCTGGGCGTGTACAGTGTAGGGTATGTCTAAATATGGAGGTTTTAGAGAGTAATGTTGGGAGATCTGAAGTCGAACATGACCCCCCCCCCCATAAAAGATAGGAACTTATAGTTTTGCTAAGGACAAGGACACCAGACTAGAGAATAAGGGTTAAGCCTTGGTCAATTTGCCAAGACACTAACAACAACAACAAGGACCCTTCCCATGTTAGATAGTGTGTACATTTAATCAAGATTTTATGCCCTGTGTTTCATATATAGCAGAAGGTAGCACATTTATTACTGAGAAACCACCTCCCTTTACACTTATGTGCTCTCTTGAACTTCTACAAAACCCTATACGGTTCCAGCCCAGCGTATCTGTCCGAACGCATCTCCTTCTACGTCCCACCTCGGAGTTTAAGATCTTCTGGGGAGGCCCTGCTCTCGGCCCCACCTCTATCACAAGTGAGATTGGCAGAGACGAGGAGCAGGGCCTTCTCAGTGGTGGCCCCTCACCTATGGAATTCACTCCCCGGGGAAATTAGATCATCGTCATCTCTCCTTTCCTTTAGAAGGAAATTAAAAACATGGATTTGGGACTAGGCGTTTGGGCAATCTGGCAGATAAATAAAAGACAACGACAACTGATAGGAATGGAAAATGTGGAATGAAGTTATGGACTCTGAGTTGCGAATGTTGAGCATGAGATTGGTTTTATTGACTGTGATATATATTGATTGTTTTTAACTGTTATAACTGTTTTAATTGCTGTCTATATATTTTTATCTGTATTATTGTGTAGGCATCGAATTGTGTCTTTTGTAAGCCGCCCTGAGTCCCCCCTCGGGGGTTGAGAAGGGCGGGGTAGAAGTACACGAAATCAATAAATAAATAAATAAATAAATATGGGACTCTGGTGAGAGGGATAAATGGGTACGTTTTTTATAACATGATTTCTATATATCTATATTCCTCCCTGTGTACCTGACCTTTTCCTGACCCTTTTGCCCAATTCCCCTTTATTGAAAAATGTATAAAAATACAAGACAGCAACCCCTGCGTGACCCTGGAAAGGAGGAAAAGACCCTTATCAAAAGACACTATTTACATGGATAATAACAATAACAATAACCTCTGGCCTCAGAGTTGGCCCCCCCAGAGGAAGCGGTCACTTGGCATTTATAATCATATCTTTTACAGGACAAAGGAAGCCTTCGGAAAGCCACACTTTGTCCTAATCTGTTACTGATTCAACTTTTATCCACTGAAACCACAGCCAAGATTACCTCATCGTTTCTGTGTCTCAGCACTGGAAAAATCCGGATCAACATTTATTGCAGCCATTCAAGGACAATAGCAAAGGCTAGCTCGCAGTCCCTTAGGACGCAAAATCTCCATAATCTCCATAATCCACTCAAGAATGCATTGTTTCCCCTTGTCCCACCTCCCTCTCTCTTGATTCGTCAGGACACCGAGGCGGCAGAAGCCCAACGATTGGCCCAGGCACTCAGGAGGTGGTCAAGCCTCCTCCCAGCTGTAGAGCGCCAGCCAATCATCGAGCTGGCAGAGGGGCGGGGAATGGGAGATTCAAACCTGGCAGCTCTGTTTTATGTATAAAAAGGCCTTTATTTTTGTACACTATATGCTTAGCTTGGCGAAATATTGCTGCTTTGCATCCTTTTCAGCTGAATCGCAATAAAATCATCTCGGTGGTGCTTCCTTCAACTTTGGTGAGATTTCTTTTGGGAAATTAGGAAAAACCTTTTAAATTGGGCTTCTCTTTGCTCACCATTGTAGCGAGCCCTCTTTGGTGGGTCCGCAGGGTCTCTCCTATAGGGCCAGACCCTTTTAAATTCCCCCATGATTTCAGATCAATCCAATGGATAGATAAAGTGCTTCAGAGGATTTATAGAAGGAAATTGGTCATGTTTTCAGGCTCCTCCTAAAGACTGCCAAAGTGGGGGGCTGTATGATATCCTTGGGGAGTGAGTTCCAGAGTCAGGGGGCCACCACCGAGAAGGCCCTCTCACTCGTCCACACCAATCACGCCTGCGAAGGGAGCGAGAGCAGGGCCTCTCCGGATGATCAAAGAGATCACATGGCTTTGTACACAGAGATGCGGTCATGCTGGTCCCAAACTGTTCAGGGCTTTGTAGGTCAGAACCTGCACCTTGAATTGGGACCAGAAAATGAATGGCAGCCAATGGAGCTCCTTAAACAGGGGGGTTGACCGCTCCAGTTAGTAACCTGGCTGCTGCACGTCGGACTAATTGAAATTTCCGAGCCGTCTTCAAGGGCAGCCCCATGTAGAGTGCATTGCAGTAATCCAATCTGGAGGTGACTAAGGCGTGGCCCACCATGGCCAGATCCGACTTCACGAGGTATGGTCGCAGCTGGCGCACGGGTTTGAGTTGTGAATGTGGGGTAATTAAAAAAAAGGTAATAATGCATACTTAAGTATGCAGATTGACTTGGGAGTCAGTCCCATGCAACTTGCACTTCTTAGAAGTGTGCATAAGGTTGCAACATAAATTGCACAAAACCACAAGGCTTTGTGTAGTTTTGTTATAGCTTGAAGCCTTGTGGATAGTTTATTTCACCTTTGACCCTGGAGACCTGAGTTCAAATCCTTGCTTAGCCACTGGGAGACCTTGGGCAAGCCACACTCTCTCAGCCTCAAAGGAAAGCAAATGCAAACCAATCTCGCCAAGAGGCAGGATAGTTTTCCTGTTATGTTGACAACATAACAACAAACAACAACAACAAAACAGAGGAGGCTTTGCAATGAACAACTCATGTTTCTTACACTGGGAAAACAACAACAACAACAACAACAACAACAAAACAGAGGAGGCTTTGCAATTAACAACTCATTTTTCTTACACTGGGAAAACAACAACAACAACAACAAAACAGAGGAGGCTTTGCAATGAACAACTCATGTTTCTTACACTGGGAAAACAACAACAACAACAACAACAACAACAACAACAACAACAACAAAACAGAGGAGGCTTTGCAATGAACAACTCATGTTTCTTACGTTGGGAAAACAACAACAACAACAACAACAACAACAACAACAACAACAAGGAGAATGAACGAAAAGCAAGCTGAGACTTACCCACATTGTTCTTGCCTTCGAGCTGTGCGTAGCACTGTAAACAACAACAACAACTGTTAAGTTATTCAGTTTGCAACACAGGGGATATTTATATTTGCATCCTTCCTGAACAGCCTTTGACAATTGTGACACCGAGAACAAACTTTGCAAAGATAGGCAAAGGAAGGATAACAACAACAACAACAACAACAACAACAACAACAATTTTATTTTATTTTATTATTGGTTACTTAAATTGGTCAGAAAGGGATTGCACTGGATTGCCTTTGGGGATCTCTTCTAACTCTATAATTGTATATTTATCATATATGCATACATATAATATTGGCCTGTCAGTCTTTCATATTCATAGCTGGGTGGTCATCTGTTGGGAGGGCTTTGATTGTGTCTTTTTTGCACTGGACTGGATGGCCCTTGGGACTCTCTTTCAATTCTATGATACTATATCTATCATATATATGTATATGATATCTATCTATTAATCAGTCAATCATATCATATCATATCTTTGGCTTGTTGGCCGTCTGTCAGGAGGGCTTTGATTGTGTCTTGTATTGCATTGGACTGGATGTTCCTAGGGGACCTCTCCCAATTCTATGATACTATATCAATCCTACCAGTCATATCTTTGGATGGATGGCTATCTGTCGGGAGGGCTTTGGTTGTGACTTTTTGGATTGCAGTGGATAGAGCTTGAGGATCTATTCTAATTCTATGATACTATACATTATACAGATAGATAGATAGATAGATAGATAGATAGATAGATAGATAGATAGATAGATAGATAGACAGACTATCTATATTTGTCATATTATCTATGGGTGGATGGCCAACTTTCGTGAGAGCTTTGATTGTGTCTTTTTGCATTGCAATGGATGGCCCTTTTTGACCTTGTCCAATTCTATGTATGCCATCTATTCATCTATCTATCTATCCATCCATCCATCCATCCATCCATCCATCCATCCATCCATCCAAAAGGATTGTGCCTTTTTGCTCCAGCTACATAATAATGCAGCTTGGCCCCACTTGAAAGGTCCTTGCTCAGTGCTATGGGAGTTGTAGTTTGCATTCGTTAGCAGAGCAGGCTCAAGGCCTGGTCAAACTACAACACCCATCGCTCCACAGCCTCCAGCCATCCAACTGCATCAATTCTATTTGCACGGGATCCTTTGCATGGGATGAAGTTAGAAACTTCCCCTTGCATTTTGCATTTCCCCGGGGAAGTTGAGGAATGCTGTATCTCCCACTGAGATCCACTTTCCCACAGGCCTTTGGGGACCCCGCTTCCTGTCCATTTCTTTGCTCCAAATTTGCTTTTTCCTGCAGTAAATAAACATGCAAATCTCTCTTGCAAAACCCAGGAATCGGGCAACAGAATGCTCTTTTTTGCATGCAGAACAATGTGCAAAAAGTGTTTGCATTTTGGAAAGAACCTTGTTTTACTTTTAAAGCAAATAGATTGATTTTTATGAGGTTCTTCCATGCAATACAATCATTGAGTTGTAGTTCGCCGACAGTTGGAGCTCAAACAAACCTGTTTGTAATGGCCATAAAACCATTAAAAAGCATATCGGAATTGCCTCTTTGCTTGAGATTTCAGCCTTGATCTTGAGACACAGAGGATGCACTTCCAATCCTCAAATACATTCGGCAGGATGTATTTGAGGGTGGTTAGGATTCAATTTAACCTGCCTAGGCTCAATGCAATGGCATTCGAAGCGTGGTTGCTTGCACTTTTGCAAATTGCAAGACCTTGCAAAACTGCAACTCAGTCTCATAGTGTAGAGAGGTCCAAGTAACATCAAAGTGCATTAATTCTACAGTATAGACACACACACATGTCCTGAGCAACAACTTTGAGAGTGTATAAATGTACTGAAGGATGCAAGGAAGGTAAGCCATGTGCTTTGGATGTGCTTTGCTTTCCTATACAGAGAAAAGCTTGCAAGAGCTCTCTGAGCATGTGCAGATTTCCCTTCAATATACAGAGAAAAAGCATTTTTGGAAATATCCAATGATGATGATGATGATGATGATATTTATTTATACCCTGCTCAAAGTGGCTATGCATCTATTGTTGTTGTTGTTGTTGTGTTTATGTTTATTCATACCCCACATTATCTCTCACAAAGGAGACTCAAAGTGGCTTAACATAAAAGCATTGGCATACAATTTAAAAACATAAAAATATTCAAACATTCAAACAGAATTAAATATAAACCGTATTATTATCATTATTTAAAAAAAATCAATTTAAACATATTCAAAGTGTTAGAAAACCACTGCATTTATATAACCCAGTGCTACATAGTGATATTATTTGCATAACACATAATGGCAAACTGTAACAAAGTTTCAAAACCAGGCTCAATATATGGAAAAGGAATCAAGAAAGGAAACAAAGTAGAGAAGTTTGCCAGAAAGGAAATGCTGTGCAAAAAGGATTTGGAAAGAGAAAAAATAATTTGCACATGTGTGTTTACACATGTGTTTTGCACATGTATTTGCACAGATTTGCACATGTGTTTGCACATGCATTTCTGCATGTTTCAACATGTATTTGTACATGTTTGCACATGTGTTTGCACATGCATTTGCAAACATTTCAAGAGGTATTTGCACATTTGCACATGCATTTGTCACATTTCAAGATGTATTTGTACATGTATGCACATGTATTTGCACATGCATTTGCACACGTTTCAACATGTATTTGTACATGTGTCTGCACATGCATTTGCACACATTCCAGGATGTATTTGCACATTTGCACATGCATTTGCACATGTTTCAACATGTATTTGCACACGTTTCAACATGTATTTGTACATGTGTCTGCACATGCATTTGCACACATTTCAGGATGTATTTGCACATTTGCACATGCATTTGCACATGTTTCAACATGTATTTGTACATGTTTGCACATGTATTTGCACATGCATTTGCATACATTTCAGCGTGTATCTGTACATGCGTTTACGCATGTGTTTGCACTTGTATTTGCCCTTGTACTTGCACATGCATGTCCCTCCTGTCACCCGTCAAATGTCAAAAGGGAGAGTGGGTCTGCTCCTCACCTTTGCTCTTTTGAAGCAAGCCCAGAAGAAGTCCAGGAACGGCATCCTTTGGCCTGATTTCAGGGCCCCCTGAAAAGTTTGGGGCCCCTCATTTCCTTCGTATTTGCAGGAAAAGACGAGGAAAGAGAAGCGGCTGCGGCTTGATCTCTCTTTCTCTCTCTCTCTCTCTGTGCCTTGGAAAAGGAGAGAAGGAGGAGAAGGAGGAGGAGAAAGAGGCGGTCGCTTTGATTCAAACTAAACTCTGCTGCACCGTTATTCCGTTGCCTAGAAGAAGAAGAAGAAGGGGGAAAGGGGCCGGGATGCCCATTGACATTCCAGAAGCATGAGGAGCCGGGCTGCACATTTCCTTTCCTTTTAAAATGCAACAGTCAAAGCAAAACAGAGGAGGAAGGCCAAGCTTCTTTGGCTAGATTTGTAACATCTGCACCGAGTTGAATTATAGGAGTCTGCACTGCCATATAATACGGTTGCACGGTATCACAAAACTGCATTCCACAGCAGTGTAGATGCACATCTTACAGCAATCGAAGACATCAAACTGCATTAGAGGAGTCTGCACTCCCATATAATGCAGTTACAAAACTGCATTATACGGTAACATAGGTGGGGCCTTCGTGGCTACGTTGAATTGCATTGTAGAATTCTGCACTGTCATATAATACAGTTGCACGGCATCACAAAACTGCATTATGTGGCAATATAGAGGGGTCTTCATAGTGTTCTCATCAAACTGCATTATAAGAGTCTGCACTGCCATATAATGTGGTTGCACGGCATTACATGACTGCATTATATGGCAATGTGGATGCGACCTTTGTGGCATCTGCATCGAATTGCATTTTAGGAGTCCGCACTGCCATGTAATGCAGTTGCGCGGCATCATGAAATTGCATTCTATGGCAATGTAGCCTTCGTGGCTTCTGCATTGAACTGTATTATAAGAGACTGCACTGCAATATAGTGCAGTTGCATGGCATTAAATTGCATTATACAGCAATGTAGATGGGGCCTTCATGGCATCTGTATTAAACTGCATTAAGGGAGTCTGCGCTGCAATATAATGCAGTTGCATGGCATCATGAAACTGCATTTTATGGTAATGTAGTTTTCATGGCATCTGCATTGAAATGCATTATAGGAATCTGCACTGGAATATAATGTAGTTGCATGGCATCACAAAACTGCAATATATGGCAATGTGTTGTTGTTGTTGTTCATTTGTTCAGCCATCTCCGATTCTTCGTGACCTCATGGACCAGCCCACCCCAGAGCTCCCTGTTGGCCGTCACCACCCCCAGCTCCTTCAAGGAGGTTGCACAGCATCACAATACTGCATTATATGGCAATGTGGATGGGACATTTGTGGCAATGTAGATGTCTTTGTGGCATCTGCATTATAAGTCTGTGTTGCCATATAACGCAGTTGAACAGCATCACAAAACTGCATTATATGACAATGTAGTCTTTGTGGCATCAGCATCAAACTACATTATAGGAGCCTGCACTGCCATAGAATGCAGTTACAAAAGTGCATTATATAGCATTGTAGATGAGGCCTTCATAGCATGTGCATTGAATTGTATTAGAGGATATCGGCACTGCTATATAATGTAGTTGCAAGGTGTCACAAAACTGCTTTATATGGCAATGTAGATGGGACGTACATGACTGCATTGAATTGCATTGTAGGGGTCTGCGCTGCCATATAATGCAGTTAAAGGACATCACAAAACTACGCTATATGGCAAAGTTGCTTTTGTGACATCTACATCAAACTGTATTATAAGAGTCTGTGCTGTCATATAATGCAGTTGAACGGCATCACAAAATTGCATTATACAGCAATGTAAATGGGGCCTTCATTGTGTCTACATCAAACTGCATTGCACGAGTCTGCACTGCCATATAATGCAGTTCTATGTCCTTATGCGGTAATGTAGACTGAGCCTTTGTAGCATCTGAATCGAATTGCATTTTTGGAGCCTGCAGTGCCATATAATGCAGTTGCATGGCATCACACAACTGCATTATATGGTAGTGTAGCCTTTGCTGCATCTGCATTGATGTGCATTATGAGTCTGCACTGCCATATAAAGCAGTTGAACGGCATCACAAAATTGCATTATAGAGCAATGTAGATGGGGCCTTCATCGTGTCTGCATTAAACTGCATTGCATGAGTCTACACTGCAATATAATGCAGTTCTATGGCCTTATACAGCAATGTAGATGGAGCCTTTGTGGCATCTGCATCGAATTGCATTTTAGGAGCCTGCAGTGCCATATAATGCAGTTGCATGGCATCACAAAAAGGCATTATATGGCAATGTTGCCTTCGTTGCATCTGCATTGACGTGCATTATGAGTCTGCACTGCCATATAACTCAGTTCCATGGCATCACAAAACTGCATTATATGGCAATGTCACCTTTGTTGCATCTGCATTGAGGTGCATTATATGAGTCTGCATTACCATATAATGCAGTTGCATAGCATCAAGAAATTGCATTGTATAGGCCCGACAACTCCTTTTGCAGGTCCTGAATCGCATTGCTGCAAGAACAGGGCTCCTATTAAGCATGATACTAAATAAAGGACGGAGATTGAGGGAAGTATGTCTTTGTAGTATCTTGGAATCCAAAGACGGTACAACGTGCAAAGTGTCGTCCAGGCGCCAGCAAAAGGGGATTCGCCGGTGTCGCCTTTCACTTTATGGGTCCAAAGCAAGCTGTTCTATTCCCGTCCCCATATATTAATAGCCGCTTGTTTACGGGGGTCTGGCAGCTGAGCTGTTGTCTCAATGAGGAAATCCATTTGAACCAACTGCAAAGGAGTCTCAAGCGGTCCCAAGTATGATGATGATGATGATGATGATGATAAGCCTGCGTTGCACTCCATTGGCAAGGGCAACCCTGGGCCTTTCTGTGTGGCTTGGCTGTTTCCTCGAGGTCAGGCGGCTCCTTCCCATTAGCATGGAGGGAATGCAACCCCTTTCACTTGCCTCCCACGGAAGAGATGCCTTGGCCTGGAGGGAGGAATGCCCAGAAGACAAGAGAGAGGAGGCTGCAAAGGCTCGCTCTCTCCAAATCTGGGCCGAGACCCATGGCGCGGTGGTGGGGCCCGGAAGCATTCGCAGCAGGAGAGCCAAAGGCCGGGCCAGCAGCCCTTTCAGCCTCGGCCAAAGAGGAGGAAGCATGCGCTTGTTGGGCGGCCTGGACCTTCCACTGAATGCGCTGCTGGCACTGCTAACCAAGCCTCTCATAAAGAAGCTTTTCTTCCCAACTTTGGACCACCCGCCCTACAGGTGATTTGGACTCCAACTCCCACAATTCCTAACAGCCGGTAGGCTGTTAGGAATTGTGGGAGTTGGAGTCCAAAACACTTGGAGGGCAGAAGTTTGCCCAGGCCTGAATCTCTATCTATAGGCTGTGGTGAGTTGTGGGAGGAAAGGAATGCCATGTGTGGGACGGAAATAACTTGAGCCAGGAGCAGGCGGTTCACATGCGCCACGTATTGCATGCAGACCACGAGGGAAGGGGAGGCCCAGGGAGGGGCAAGGGAGGGAAGGAAGGGAGGGAGGGCCCCACTGAGTTGGATGACAAGCTCTTCCTCCTCTGCCACCAGGAAGGAAGGAAGAAAAGGAGGGAGGGAGGGAGCAAAGGAAGGAAGGAAGGAAGGAGAGAGGAAGGAAAGAAGGAAGGAATGAAAAGGGAGGGGGATGGAAGGAGGAAGGGGAGGGAGGGAGGAAGGAAGGGGAAGGAAAAGGAAGGAACTAAGTAGGGTGGGAAGGAAATAAGGAGAAGGGAGGGAGGGAGGAAGAAGAAAGAAAGAAGAAGGAAGAAAAAGGAAGAAATGAAAGAAGAAGGAGAAGGGGGAAGAGGGAGAAGGAAAGGGAAGAAGAAGAGGGGGGAGGAAGGGAGGGAGGGAGGGGAGGGAAGGGGAAGGAAAGAGGGAGGAAGAGAAGGGAGGAGGAAGAAGGAGAGGAGGGAGGGAGGGATGGAGGGAGAGGAGGAAGGAAGGAAGAAGGAAGGAAGGAAAGGAAGGAAGAAGGAAGGAAGGAGAAGGAAGGAAGAGAAGGAAGGAGAAAGAGAGGGGGAGGGAGGGAAGGAAGGAAAGGGAGGAAAAGGAAAGGAAGGGAAAGGAAAGAAGGAGAGGGAAGAAAGGAAGGAAGGAAAGAAAGAGGAGAAAGGAAGAAAGAAGGAAAGAAGGAAGAGAAGGAAGAGGGAAGGAGGGACAGAGGAAAGGAAGAAATGAAGGAAAAGGAAGGGAGAAAGGAAGGAAGGAAGGAAGGAAGGAAGGAAGGAAGGAAGGAAGGAAGGAAGGAAGGAAGAGGGAAGGTAAGGAAGAATGAAGGTTGGGAGGAAAGGAGAAGGAAAGAAGGAATGAAAGAGGGAAGCAAAGAGGGAAATAAGGAAGGAAAGGAGAAGGAAGAGGGCAGGAAGGACAGAGGAAAGAAAGAAACAAAGGAAGAGGAAGGTTGGAAGGAAGGAAGGAGAGAGGGAAGACGGAAGGTAAGGAGGAATGAAGGTTGGAAGGAAGGCTAGAGGCAAGCAAGCAAGGAAGTTATGGAAACCTGATCAACTCCTCCTCTTCAACTCTTATATGACCGAGAGGCAAAATATGATCTCTGAATCTACTCCGGTGTGGATGCAAACAGAGGAAGCAACCTGCATGTTTCAATTGCCTTTGGGGGAATTAAACAAAAACTGGATGTTGTTGTTGTTTAATACAACAAGACAGCAGGTGTGAAAGTGATTAGGGAAGGAGAAAGGCACAATTTGGAGGCCTGCCCCATCCCTCCATCCTTCCTGTCCGATTGCGGATTGGGAATAGTCCTGATAGATAAGGCTGATTGATACATGACTGGAAAAATATCTACATATAGAATAGCTATATCACACAATCATAGATTGGGAGAGAACCCAAGGGCCCTCCAGTCCAACCTCCTGCTATGAAGGCACAATCCGACCCCTCCCAACAGATGGCCATCCAGCTATAGATATGACTGTGAGATGTAATACAATATAATACTACTAATAATACAATATGATATATAATATTGTAATATAATAATATATATATATAATACTGATAATATTGCATACTGTGCTGTTGCACACTGGGCCTGTGCATAAGGCTGTAGACAGGACATAAATTCCGTGTGCCCAACGGGACGCCGGGGCTGCCTCAGATTAAAGGCCTTTGGATTTCCTTAAAACAGAGTCTTTAGAGGCTTAAAGTAAGTCCAACAAAGTTCTTTATTAATGAAAACAAACAAATACTTTAAGGCTTTCTTAATAGTCTATTGGCTCTCTCTCAATCTTGTCCACAGGGAACAGGCACTATCTTCATAACTGTAATTAACTAATGGGGAAATCCTTAACTTCTAATCTGGGCAATCTGTACTTGCTTCTGTTGATGTGGAGCCCCTGCACCCGGTACCAACTGTGTCTGGCTTCCGCGAGCGACCCTTACCAAGCAGAGATTTGTAGACTTCCAGCGGAAAAGAAGGAGTTCAGGTTTCTGTGATGGCTGGCTGAAGTCCTTCAGCAAAGGAGCTGTAAGGCTGTATGATCCTCGGCCAAGCTGTGGGACTGTACAACCCCGGCCAAGCTGTAGGTTGTATATCTTCCCGGCCAAGCCGTAGAAGACGAAGCTTTCTACAGGAGCTCTTGGTTTTATGTCCTGTGTGAAAGGCTTCTCTGTGAGAACTGACTCAAAAAGGCTCCTATTCCCTCCAAAACTCAAAAAGGGGCGGGACCAGGAGACCTAACGATAATTGACAGGTGGCTTGCCCTATGATTGCAGCCAAAAGAAGCCACCTATCTACAGAGTCCCTGAAATTTGGGACTATAACAAACATTCAATGCAAAATGTATTGTCGAAGGCTTTCATGGCTGGAATCACTAGGTTCTTGTGGGTTTTTTCGGGCTATAGAGCCATGTTCTAGAGGCATTTCTCCTGACGTTTCGCCTGCATCTATGGCAAGCATCCTCAGAGGCAAAGCAAACAAAATGGGAGCTTCTAGTACAGCTGTACCAGCACACATATAAATAAAGCATTCATATACATACATACATACATATATATATATATGCATATATATATATATATACACACGCACCTCTATGTATGTATGTGTGTATATTTCTTGTAGCAATTGTGCATCAGAATAGAAGCAGTGTTGCAATAAAGATCGCATACAATGGGCATAAAATCCCTAAATTCCTGCTGGGAATCCTTTTGTAACGCACATCATAAATCTCACCAGTTTTCCTTGTGATCAAGGCATGGGTTTTATGAAAAGGCTTGTCAACAAACTAAAGTTTTAGGGCGATGATGCCCTCTTGTGGCCAAGACAGGAATATATGTATTGTCGAAGGTTTTCATGGCTGGAATCACTGGGTTGTTGTAGGTTTTTTCGGGCTATATGGCCATGATCTAGAGGCATTCTCTCCTGACATTTTGCCTGCATCTATGGCAAGCATCCTCAGAGGTAGTGAGGCCTGTTGGAACTAGGAAAAAGGGTTTATATATCTGTGGAATGACCAGGGTGGGACAAAGGACTCTTGTCTGCTGGAGCTAGGTGGGAATGTTTCAACCGACCACCTTGATTAGCATTTGATAGCCTGACAGTGCCTGGGGCAATCTTTTGTTGAGATGTGATTAGATGTGATTAGCGTGATTAGCACCCAAACATGAATCAAGGAACATGAAAGGCACTGCAGACTCCTTCAACCAGAGAAGTCAGCCATAGCAGAGCACCTGATGAATCAAACTGGACACAGCATATTATTGGAGAACACAGAAATGCTGGACCACTCTCACAACCACCATGTCAGACCACACAGAGAGGCCATTGAAATCCATAAGCATGTATGTGGACAATTTCAACAGAAAGGAGGAAACCATGAAAATGAACAAAATCTGGCTACCAGTATTAAAAAAAATCTCTAAAATTACAACAGCACAACAACAGAGAGGAAACAAACAAGGACATCTAATCACCTCTCAACAAAAGATTGCTCCAGGCACTGGCAGGTCATTATATGCTAATCAAGCTGGTCAGTCGAAACATTCATCCCTAGCTCCAGCAGACAAGAGCCCTTTGTCCCACCCTGGTCATCATTCCACAGATATATAAACCCATTTTCCTAGTTCCAACAGACCTCACTACCTCTGAGGATGCTTGCCATAGATGCAGGCGAAACGTCAGGAGAGAATGCCTCTAGAACGTGGCCATATAGCCCGAAAAAACCTACAACAACCCAGGAATATATGTGTTTCTCGGAAGGTTGTATGTATTTAAATATATTTAAATACACGTATGAAGCGTGAGTCTTAAGTTCAAGGAATCACCTGTCCATTTCTTTACAGCCCTAAAGCCTCTCGCAATACCAAGCCTTTAGATATCCGAATCAAGAAAGCAACGGCGAGGAAGGACGATTGACCAAAATGTTTCTGCATGAACTCCTTCAGCCTCTTTTTAATTTACAAAAATTTACAATTAAATAATTTACAGGTTTCATTTCCCCCAAAACACATACACACATATATCAAGTAGAGGTAAAGTTATATATATATATATATTATATATATACACAAGACCAATGACAAGAAACAAAATAAAATTCCAAAGGACTTCTGCAGCAGAAGAATCATCCCCTGGGACAAAGCCAACTGTCGTATGTATTTAGTGTTGTTTTCGGGTCAGGAAAACATCCCCGGAGTTGGAGAAACGAATAAATCTGCCCTCGTTTCCACTCGTTTCGTCCAGCCTTCACGGAGGAACATCAGCACACCCTTGTCATCGAAACCCAAGCCATGTTTTGCAGCTGAATATATCAGGGAGAGTGATCAATTGGAAAACTAACAACGATAAAATCAATGAAATCAAGTCGTTGCAAAAAAGGATTCAATCTCTTGGCCAAAAAGTGTTGTGTTTTCCTCTGGAAATCCTGTCATTTCTGCAACTCCAAAAGAACTCGAAAAGAAACAAAAAGCATTTAGGCATCGCTCTGTTATGGGAATCTCTTGTCTCTACATGTATGATATATTGGTTTCCTAAACTCCAAGCTGGTATCGCAGGGCCTAGATATCCAAATCAGCCAAGAAAACCAATCCAAAGCAAGCAGTTTTGCTCCAAAGAATGAGGTGTGAGGAGTCAATTTCTGACGGCATGAAGACATCACAAATTCCCTCCGTGACATCCTGACTGAATCAATTCTCTCTGTGACATTCTGAAGCCAGCAGAGGAGCTAGAAACCATGTTATGGAACTTGTGAAGCAACAAGTTCTAATGAGGAAAGTGAGAAGAGCAGGAAATGGGCAGGAAAGGTGTATAAAAGGGAGTGGTGGTGGGAAAAAGTCAGTAGCGTCTTTCTTTGCTGCAGAGATACAAGCAATATATCCATTTCAAAGCAAGCTGGCTTGTGAGTGGTTATTTAATATTGCTATTTAGATCCTACAGTCTGACACGGGGAAAATCCTCCACAAATGGATCAACCAAACAACCAAACATACCGAAAGCATCGGAGTATTCATGCTCTGAGCAAAGCCCTTGAATGTGCTAAGCGCAAAGTAAGTGAATCTTTTATTGTCGAAGGCTTTCATGGCCGGAATCACTGGTTTGTTGTAGGTTTTTCCAGGCTATATGGCCATGGTCTAGAGACATTTTCTCCTGACGTTTCGCCTGCATCTATGGCAAGCATCCTCAGAGGGAGTGAGGTCTGTTGGAAATAGAAAAAAGGGTTTATATATCTGTGGAATGACCAGGGTGGGACAAAGGACTCTTTTCTGCTGGAGCTAGGTGTGACTGTTTCAACTGACCACTTTGATTAGCATTGGATGGCCTGGCAGTGCCTGGGGGAATCTTTCTTTGAGAGGTGGTTTGATGTGCCTGCTTGTTTACTCTCTGTTGTTTTGCTGTTGTAATTTTTAAGTTTTTTTAATACTGGTAGCCAGATTTTGTTGTTTGTTCAACAGCAAAACAACAGAGAGTAAACAATCAGGCACATCAAATTATCTCTCAACAAAAGATTCCCCCAGGCACAGTCAGCCCATTATATGCTAATTCAAGGAGGTCAGTTGAAACCTTCACCCCTAGCTCCAGCAGACAAGAGTCCTTTGGTCATTCCACAGATATATAAACCCTTTTTCCTAGTTCCAACAGACCTCTGAGGATGCTTGCAATAGATGCAGGCGAAACGTCAGGAGAGAATGCCTCTAGAACATGGCCATATAGCCCGGAAAAACCTACAACAACAAAGTGATTCCGGCCATGAAAGCCTTCGACAATACATTAAGTGAATCTTGTTCTCGTTTGGATGAGCAACCGAAAGGGAACGAAAGGGCAAAAAGAACAAGTCCCTCGAACTAATTTTCTAGGCCGAACAGCATCCAAAAGCTCTCCAAA